GCCCAGGTGGTGGGGGTGACAATGAGAGCCACCTGTGCCGGCACTGCTATTCTCCAGCCCAGGTGGGCAGGGGCTGAGAGGTGAATGGGACACAAAGGGCAGGAGCCAGGTGGGCAGCTTGGCTGGGAGGTGCCCTATCTTTTGGGGTCCCTCTGCTCTAAGATAGGGTGCTCCTGTGATGAAAGGCTCAGTCCCAGACTGTGGGCACAGAGAATGGGAGGGCAGCTCTGCCCCACCCACCCCAATGTCCAGGGACCCAGCCGATAATCCCACCTGTCCCCACCCTGCCCCGTCCGCCTAGGAGACCTTGTGGTTGGACAGCGTCTCTTTAATCATCAAGGACTCCTTGGAGGGGGAGCTGACCATCATTGACAACCTGTCCGGCTCCATCTTCCACCACTACTCCTCACCTGCTGGCTGTGACAAGTGTCACCATGACAAGCAAGAGGTACTGGCAGCCTGAGAGGAGCTGGCTCCCTGGGAGTCACCCGGGAGTGAGGTGTTGGGGGAAGCCGTGGCTCTAGGCCCCTAGAAGTATACTGATCCCACTGGTCACAGTGGTTTGTCTGTAAAGTGCAGCCCAGTGGGGGCCTAAAGATCTGAGTCCTTGGCATCTTGGCTATAAAAGGTGCACAGAAGCTATAGCTATTCTTCCTTGTGCTGTTGGGCAGCCAAGAGCCTTGTGTCCCTTTCAGGGCATTTTGCCCTTTGTGAACCAAGAAGGGGTCACTGGTGCCTATTCTTCCACAGGAGCCATGGTCCCCCTGAGTATCTCAAAACTACTCTGGTGAGCCTTGTTCTGGCCTCCTCGCAGAGGCAGCTCAGCCTTCCTCTGCCGCTGGTCTGGGGTCCTCTCCCAGGCTGTTTCCAAGAGCTCTTCCTATGTCCTAGTACATGTGCGTTCCTGGGTTAGCTCTAGTATCAATGGCTGTGAGGTCATCCCCAGGAGCCTTGGGCAGGAGTTGAACATTTGGTTGCTCAATTCTCCTGCTCCATGGCTGAGACAGGTTCCTCAGGATAGCAGATCTTGCAGGGACATGCAGTGCAAGTGGCCCTCACAGCCCTCAGAGGAGTCATACCCACCCCAGCTCTATGGACACTTGGTCTGGAGCAAGTGGACAACAGAGCTCCATAGCTCACTGTATCATGGCTACTTGTGTGTTCAGACACCAAGGTGGGCCACTCAGACCTGGTTTCCGTTGGGGGTGGCTCCTGTGCCATCATGTGTCACCCAGGCTGGGATCCTACACAGAGTGGGCCCACCACCCATGCCCAGCAGGCCTGTGAACCACTCTGACCACTGCCCCATGTCCTTTCAGGGACCTGTTGCTCAGCGCTCCAGGCCCAGGCTGCCCCATCCCAGCCCCAGGGTGACCCGAGGCCACCACCTCCCCCTGCAGGTGCAGCTGGCTGAGACAGAGGCCTTCTCCCTGAACTCAGACAGGTCCTCGTCCATCCTGATGGGGGATGACCTGAGTCTCGAGGACCCCACAGCCTGCCCACAGGGCCCCAAGGAGAGCAAGGTAAGTGGCTGGGAGTCTCCTTGCATTGCTCTCCATGTGCAATGGCAGGGTACACAGTTCATCTGGCCTGGCTGGGCTCAGGTGGGGTACAATCCAAGTAATTGAGGCCACATCTTGTGTCAGACATAGATATCAAGTTGCAGGAGGCAGGGTACACAGTTCATCTGGCCTGGCTGGGCTCAGGTGGGGTACAGTACAAGTAATTGAGGCCACATCTTGTGTCAGACATAGATATCAAGTTGCAGGTTAGGATATCATGAGCCCATACTCCTCAGAGTGGACATCAGGTAGCTCTCAAGGAACTTGTAGAGCTGAGAAAGTCTGGAAAGAGATGCCACAGCCTTCTGCTCCATCTGCAAGACCCCAGGCAGTGGCCAGAGAGGAAGAACTCCTCCTCCCAAGTATGAATGTGGAAACTGAGTTACGGCAAAAGAAGGGGCCCACTTCATGTTCTGTTCTGATGCCTTCACTGCAAGTTACTACACTGAGTTAGCGTTTGGTTTGCTTATGGATATGAAGAAGACCTGGTGCTGTACTCAAGGCCTTTAGAATCAGGAAGAGAGGGGATAGGGGAACCATAGCTGCCTGGAGGCATCCAAGAGGGCTTCCTAGAGGTCAGGACCTTCCACCCGAGGACTGGTGGTGACTGTTGGTCAGGTGGAGGAGGCAAGAGGAAGGGTTTCCTAGATAGGGATGGGATAGCTATGCAGGGGCCCTGCCTCTGTCTTCCTCAACTTATTGATCACCTACCTCCCTTGCCTGCAGGGTGAGCTAGAGCCTCCGGAGCCCTTGCAGGCAGGAGACCTGGATGAATGCTTTTTCCCCTTTGCCAATGCGCCAGTGTCTTCAGGCCCAGAGAGCCTGCTGTGTGAGATGGAGGCCATCCCGTTCAATCCTGTCCAGTCCTGGCTCAAACATGAGAGCAGCCAAGGTGAGGGTTGCAGCCTTACCAGCTAGCTCCCTGCACCCCAATCCTAAACATCTGTTTCATGAGAGAGGTGGTGGAGGTTTGTTTTTCCACCATAAAGAACCAAATGGGTTCCTGACAATTAGAGAAAGACTCCAGCCTGATACAGTAGTGATAAAAGAGCAAGGTCAATGAACTAATAAGGATAGCTGAAGCCTGGGCTAAAAGAAACGTCACGCCGAGCTTCCTATGTTCTGTGATGAACCAGGGAACCAGGTTGCCACACACAGAGCAGAAGGGAGGCTTGCAGATTATTGAGTTTGGGTAGAGAACAATCTGAAGGGCGTTTGTCCCCCAGATATGCACACAAGGTGACATAATGACTGGCTGATTGGCATTCTCAATGGCCCTTTGATAAAAGGGTCTCTACCCCACACCTCCTTGAACAGCTGGTTTGTGTTTGGGGATAAGGCAAGGGACTGAGCTGGCTTGCCTGTCACTTGGGCTCCCTCTTGGAGGATGACAAGAATGTGAGTGGCATCACTGGCTGGGTGGGGAAGAGGAGATGACAGTCTAACACAAGAGTGACCCTTAAGGCTCAAACTCACCCTAAGATGTCTTCTGGGATGTCTAGGTGACTGGCTTTCCCACAGACACTCTATAAAGCTGTGACCTCTACTGGGCATGATGGCTGGAATGCTAGGACCCCAAATTTCCTGATCTCAAAACCTGAGCCCACGGTCTGCCCCAGGCACGTTCTGATGGAGTGTTCAGTTAACGGTTAATTTGCACATCCCTTCAGTAATTTTGACAGTTTACAAGATGGCAGCCGGCACAGCCGCCTGCCTATTCACATACCCCGAGCCCCATGTTCCTTCTTCCTTATATGAGGTACAGAGGGGACCACAGGCAGAGCAGCTGCTGCTGGCCCTGCCTCAGGTTCCCCCAGCCTGGCCTTGTCCCTTTCTATCCACAGTAGAGCAGACCAGGCCCACCCAGCAGCTTCGGTACCATCAGTACTGGAAACTCTACCCTCCATTGTCCAGGAGGGGATCCCCAGGCCTGGCTTGGCCATGTGGGGTTGTCAGAACCCAAGGGATGATGACTCTCAGTGATTGAGTTCCTACTATGTGCACAGTGCTGGACTAGGTGCTCCATATCTGCTGTTAGCCCCACAGACCTCCTTGTGTTAGCTACTGTTCTCACTGCTGTGACCAAGTACCTGCTGAAGTCAACTTAAGGAAGAGTTTGTTTTGGTCCATAGTTCAAGGGAACAGCCCATCATGGTGGGAAGGCATGGCAGCAGGAACTTGGGGCAGTATATCACATGGCATCCACAGGCAGGAAGCAGAGACAGATGCACGCTGGTGCTCAGCTCACTTTCTCCCTAGTGCTCAGTCCAGGACCCCAGCCTGTGGGATGGTGCTGCCCACAGTTAGGGTGGGTCTTCTCATCTCAACCCAATCTAGAAACTTCCTCACAGACACTCTCAGAGTCCCTCTCTTTGGTGACTCCAGAGCCTGTCAACTTGACAGTGTCAACATACCTCTACTGGGTGTGTTATCTGTTCCCATTTCCAGAAGAAGAAGAAGGCCTAGGAGTCTGGCCTGGAGTCTGGTCTGCTGGGCTCTGAAAGCAGCATTCTGTTCAAAACCAGCCCTTCTAGGAATGGCACCAGAAACGTTTCTTGCTCTCACAGCAAAGAAACTGAGGCTTCAAATTGGAGTCTTGCCCAGAGTCTTACAGCCAGTGTTAATAGACCAAGTGAGGGCTCTGTGCCCACCTCCTGGGTTGTTCCCAGCACCTCCTCTTTCTCCCCTGCAGCATCCCAGAGCCCTTTCTCCCCGGATGCCTCCAGTCCTCTCCTGCAGATGCCTGCAGAGTTCTTCCATCCCGCTGTGTCTGCCAGCCAGAAGGGACAGGAACCCGGCATGAGTGCAGGGAACCTGCCCAAGATCGCTCTTCAGGGCTCCTGGGCATCCCTGAGGTCACCAAGTGTCAACTGCACCCTCTTGCGTCAGGTACAGGCACCTCCTGAACTCTGAAGAGTGTCCTGGAGCCACGGATGATGAGGGGGAGGGGAAGGGAAAGAACAGAACACAACCAGGGCAGTCGAGTCTGGGAAAGTTGGGGAGCTTCTGAGACTTGAGAGGAGAGGTGATACCAAGATGAATATACGGGCAAGACCAGCTTCTGAGGAGCACTCAGGTTGTCAGGACAGCTGAAATGGGGGCCCTAGCTTGAGATGAGGAAAAAAGTGGCACTGCGGAGGTTTTGTGGGGTGACATGGTGCTGGGGTCAGGGGCCATGTCTTGAGTGCTCTTAGTGGGTGGTAGGGGGTGTCATTGCTAGACTGCTTGTAGACTATAGATTGCTTGATTGCAGAGGGGCAGGTTGGGAAATGAGGAAGTCTTGGCTGTATGGTCCCCTGTATCAGGGTGACTGGAGCCACAGCCCCCATGCCGTCTGGGCCAGTGGGCCTCTGGAGCACAAAACAAAAATCCACCAGAACCTTTGTGCCATGTGTAATCCTACACAACAGTGGAGGCTGGCCTGCAGGCTTCCTAGTAATTACTTAGTCAGACATGGTTAATTTCTGGTTTCAGTAGGCTGTGCTCTGCAACAGGTAGTGGATCCCGACTTCTTGCCTCCCATGGAGGGCAGTTCAGGGTTTAAAGTAAGTGTGTGTGTGTGTGTGTGTGTGTGTGTGTGTGTGTGTGTGTGTGTGTGTGTGTGGCAGAAGGGAAGATGGCCAAGCAAATGAGTGCTGGGAGTATAATCTCTGAGGAGTGGCTGGGAGGGCGAGTAGAGAGAGGCTGGAGGCTTACCTAGGAGAGAGGATGTGAGCAGCTGGGATGAGTCAGGGCTACAGCGAGCAGGTAAAGGGCTTGTGAAGAAGGAAAGGATGGCAGAAGTAATGCTGGAGATGTGGGTAGATGAGAGTCATCGGGGAGCTAGGAGAGGGAAGGGCTTGATATTAGCATTGGAACTAGGAAAGATGGCTCAGGCTGTCCAGAGGGAGCGGGGAGCCTGCATGAGGCTTCTGTGGTAACTGTCCTGAGAGATCCTGGGGATTGCTGGTGTGGCAGAGGGGGTGCTGTGGGATTCTGGATCTGCTGAGAAGGGAAGCATCCTGGGTCCCGTCATCAGACTGTCCACTAAGGACCAGGGAAAAGAGATGATACAGGGAGCCTCAACCCTTCTTATCTCCCTGCAGGCTACTGTGAGTGACACATCACTGGATGCCAGCCCTAGCAGCTCAGCTGGCAGCCTGCAGACCACATTGGAGGACAGTCTGACACTGAGCGACAGTCCCCGCCGTGCCCTGGGACCACCTGTCCAGGTGTCAGGGCCACGAGCTGGCTTGTCACCAACCACCCGACGTCGCCTCAGTCTGCGGGGCCGTGGTCTGTTTAGTCTGCGTGGCCTACGGGCCCATCAGCGCAGCCACAGCAGCGGCGGCTCTACCAGCCCCGGCTGCACCCACCACGACTCCATGGACCCCTCTGATGAGGAGGGCCGCGGGGGCACGGGTGGCGGGGGTGCAGGCAGTGAGCACTCTGAGACCCTCAGCAGCCTGTCACTCACGTCTCTCTTCTGCCCACCGCCCATGCTGCCACCCCCGGGCCTCACCCCTGCCAGGAAGTTCAGCAGTACCAGCAGCCTGGCGGCTGGACCTGGCCGTCCTGGCGCCACTGTCTCAGTCCGAGGCTTGGCCAGGAGCCCCTCATGGGCTGCAGACCGCAGCAAGGACCCACCAGGCCAGGCCCAGCTGGCTTCAGGCTTGGGCTCCTCAGCCCCTGAGCCACAACCACCTCCTGGAGAGCTGGAGTCAACTGATGCTGCAAGCAAGAGGAAGAGATGAGGGGCTGCAGGGGCCGCCGGGGGGAGCTGCCACCTGCTGTCCGCCCGCCTGCCCCATCTTGCCTTCTTTTACCTCAGGAGCCAGGGAGCAGACAGCAATACTTTGCCCACACCTGGGAGTGGCATAGGGGCCAGCCAGCGCCAGGCCACTGGGCAGGCGACTGAGGAGGGTCTGGGTTAGCTGAGGCTCAGGTGTGGCCCTACCCGTGGCCCTTCCAGCGCATATGCAGATATATACATATATACATATATATAGACAGACATATATTTATTTATTTTTTTTACTGAGAGCTTATGAATCCCAGAAAGTGCTAAAGTTGAGGGTGCAGGCCAGGGCCCAGGCAGGGGTCTCGGCTGTTGGTTAGAACACAGGCCCTCACAGCACAGATGCTCCTATTGGGGCATCAGTGGCTGTTATTTCGGGTATCTCCCTGAGTTGAGAGCAGCTTGGGAGGATGTTCAGGGCCCAGGAGACAGAAGAGAAGCAATTCAGGGTGCACTTTTTCCTGTTTAAAGAAGAGACGCTGCTAAGGACCCCAACCTCTCCCCACATGTCGGGTGTCAGTCTTGTCCCTCTGACTATCGTGTTGTTGTGAAGTCTTTTGTAGACACTCTTGACACACTTTCTTAGTTAGCCAGCTAGACACTCTCTTTAGAAAAACCAGGGGGGTCTTTTAGTCTTATTCCTTAGAGCAGGGTTGGGGGACAGGGTGGTTCCGAGACTGGGCAAGGGGCTTAGGATACAGGTTAAGTTTTGATTTCTGTGAGCATTTTGGGGAACAATTCACCACCCCCAGGAAGGCAGCAAATAGGAATAATTCCTGCAAGACAGGGTATGGGTGAAGGGGTCCATGGTACCTGCTTGGCTCACCCAGATTCCCCATGCTCCGGCTGTCAGTCAGTCGCACGAGAACTTTCTACCTTTTGTCCTCTGTGAAGTCCTCAAATTGCAGCAGTTTCTGGGGATTATGGTCATCCACCCTGAGAAATCTTGCCCCTGCCCCAGGGGTGTTTGGGGTAAGAGCAAATCTAAAAGGACCTCTGAGCAGCCCTAAACCCTGGCTGCAGCCTTTCCCCCACCTCAGCACCCTTAGCATCCAGCCAATTACCCAGACATTCATGTCCTCTGCCTCCCGCTTACCCCTCAGTATGTCTTGCCGTTAAAAGCTGCAGGTAGGGTCTCATTATGGTAGTGCTTCCTGGATGAGTTCAGGACAGGTGTTCTTTTTTATTGGAATGGTTACCCATTTATTTAAAAACAAAACAAAACAGACTGTATCGAGCCTGTGCCTTTCACAAGCTCAGCTCTAAAGAGGGTGGGTTTAAAATCAGCTTGAAGAAGGGGTGGTGGCCTACTGATAAGGGCAGTTATGTGGGATGCTCACCCAGATTGCCAAGGGTTGCTCTAGGTCCTGCTAAGAACATGTGTGTATCTTGTCCCTGTTCTCAAACCCTGATTTCACAGAAGTGGGCCTCTAGCCAGGCTAGTGAGCAGCGAGTGTGTTGGTAGGCTCTGGGGTGTTCCTGTCTGGCACAGGGACCCCCCCCCAGGTCAGAGCACAGTGGGAGGTGAGGAGGAAAGAGATGTTGAGGGGTGTTGTCTGCAAAACCCTTCTTAGAGGTGAGGAGCGGGAAAGTGGTTGTTAAACTCACTTTATACCTGGGTAAACTGAGGCTCTGGGCAAGTGAAGCAGCGATTCTGCCCCGGCAGCAAACAGCTTGGGTCACCCGTGAAGGGCACTAGCCTGAACACCTGGACTGTGCACACACAGCCATCGTTGAAGGGAGGGTGGCTCCAAGGGCCCGGTGTCGAGCTCGCTGTGGTGTAGAGAGGGCAGGGCAGGGCCCATAGTCTTCGGGCTTTACAGTGGTGGTATTTGATAGCACCTAGCACCCTCTGCTTTCTGGGTTCAGCGTGAGTCATCCAGCTCAATCTTCAGGGTGCCCCTGTGTGTGTGTTTATGCTGCTCTTCCACAGCCAGCTTTGAATCCCTGTCATAGCTCTGAGGCTGAGCAGAGATGTTCAGGCATCTACACCTTTACACTGGACTGTGTGACCCCAGAGCAAGCAGACACACTGAAGGGTGTTTTAGGGAAATGGGCAAGGTTTAAGCAAGGGATGTAGCTGGGTACGTCTATAGAGAAGGATTAGCTGAGCCCAGAAACACAGAAACTACCTGGGGTAGGTTCTCTGGGACCAATCCTAGGCATTCAGCCTTGTGTCTGTGAGTGGGGAGTCAGGGACCAACAAAGCTGTGAGCTTCTGGCAAGATGAGTTCTATTGGGCAGGGATTGGGCGGGTGACCCTTCAACACTGTGGCTTGGGGCTGTGGCCTCAGGCCAAGCCTGTCCATCACCAAAGCACAAACTCCCCCAATCCACATGGGCCTGGATGTGAGGAGAACGGGGACACAGGTACCAATGCCCTAAAGTTGTTAATTTGCTAGGCTCTGTAGCGTTTGTAGAGAAGGGTCTGGAGCCAGACAGAGCCTGCCCTGCCTTCTTGCTATCTCCTGCTCTGGTCCAGGTAGTCCCTCTGAGGAGGATGAACCGAGAGCAGTACTCGCCCATCTGCTTGTCCCCAATATTTCTCTTAGAGCTCCCAGCTCCCAGGGTCACCTCCAGCCCCTTTTGCTACTCTGTGTAAGGGCTTGGGGTCTTAGAAGCTGCTGTTTAACCTAGATACACATACTCTTTTCTTTTCGTTTTCTTTTCGTCATTGTGCAATAATCAGTGTCCCTGGCAGAGCTGGGGCCTGGGAGGAGGCAGAGGCTACCTTGTCCTGCAAGCCCCCAGCCCAGTTCTGCTCTGTGACTCTAACTTCTGGTCACTGTACAGTTTCTACAGTGTGAATGAACTTCCCTCTTAGTTGCTGAAGGCGCTGGTCCCTGCTGGCCCAGAAGGCCCGGGCGTAGAGAAACCAAGCCGAACCGCCAGCCAGCGTTGTTTTGAATAAAACCCCAGAAACTATTGAAGACTTTCTCTATGTCTCTTCCTTCCCTGCAGGGTTGGGATTGTGCTGCCCCCATCCCAAGGCAAGAGCAATGATGTCTTCATGCTGCAGCTGTGGGATCTGGGATTCGGGGGGCTTCAGAGAATCAGGGACTGGGTGGGACTTCAGGGCTGCTTACTCTTGACACTAGATCCTGAATTCATAGAGTTGGTATTATGAGGACTCACAGCTGCAAAGCACAAACCCTTACTCAAATGGGATTAAGAGCAAAAGATGGGGGCTGGAGAGACGGTTCAGAGGGAAAGAGTGCCTGCTGCTTGTCTTGGCCACTATTCTATTGTTGTAAAGAGACCCCATAGCCACAGCAACTCTCACAGCAGAGAGGATTTAATTGGGGTTGCCTTACAGTTTCAGAGGTTAGTCCATTGTTATCATGGTGGGGACCATAGCAGCATGCAGGCAGACATGGTTCTGGAGAAGGAGCTGAGAGTTCTACATCTGGGTATTCAGGCAGCAGGAAGAGAGTGACCCTGGGCCTGGCTTGGTCTTTTGAAACCTCAAAGTCTAGCCCCAGTGACACACTTCCTCCAATAAGACCACAGTCCCTAATCATTCTCAAGTAATGCTACTCCCTAATGATCAAGCACTCAAATGTATGAGCCTCTGGGTCCATTTCTGTTCAAACCACTACACTGCTCTTGTAGAAGTCTGTGGTTCAGTTCCCAGTACACTTGTCAGGTGGCTCACAACTGCCTGTAACTCCAGTTTCAGGGGTTCCAACACCCTCTTCTGGACTATGTGGGTACTACATGCTTATGGTGTACATAAACCCATACACACACACACACACACACACACATATACACACAAAAATCTTAAAGAATAAAAGAGCACAAGAGAAGAAAAGAAAGCAGTGAGAGGGAACAAGGACACAGATGGAAATAATTTAGTGGTTCTAGTTTTTAAGAATCCCAGACATAGTGTTGGCTTCAGGTGTTGCTGGATCAAAGGCTTCAGCCAAGTCACTAGGACACAGTCTCTCTACTTCCTGACTTTGTTGTTTCTGTGTTTGTTTCTTCCTCTCTGAGGCCACGAACAGTCCCAGGCTTGAGCTGTCCCATCCCTCTAGCACCTCTTTGTGGGAAGCCTGGCCACACCCTAGGGCAAGATCCTCACTCAGCTTTCCTCAGAGTTGACTAAGGAGCACACCATGCCACAGAGACACTGTGCTGGTACTGGCCAGGTCTGACCACATGCTCACTCTGGGATTCAGGGCAGAGGTGGCCGCTGAACCATAGCTATGAAGTAATATCTGTGTCCTGCCCTCCTGACAAGCTTCTGGGAACAGTGGCTTCTAATCTGTACCTTCAACAGGAGGCCATGGGGCCCTCTGATGGACTGGTCAGATATTGCCAGCTGGGAACACAGGAACAGCCAAACTGGCAGGTTGAGGGACACTTGCCTTTTGAGCATTCCTTATCCCAGCACATGTCCTTCCCTTAGGGGTTCATAAAGGCCGGGGGGGGGGCCACCAGGATGGCAGGCATGGCCTCATGCAAGGCATCCCTTCCCTGAGGACTCTGTAGGTAGGGATGACCTAGGCCAGGACTCCTGACCCATCCAACTTCTTTAGCACCCTTGGTTCCCTATCCATTGATTATGGCAGTCTTTGGAAACAACAGAAACTAGTGTATTATGATAGGAGGGGGAGGCAAAGGCTGAGGTGTGTGTCTGCAGTGCCACCCAGACCACCAGACTTGCTCTCAAACCAGTGAGGACACTGGAAACCTTTAAAGGCCTTCCCTGCTTCAGACATCTGCCTCACTGCAGGGTCAGGGTTGGTATGTGTGTAGGTAAAGGTGCTTTTGCCTGTTTGAGGATCTGTGTGCATATGTGGTGGCTGGCTGTGTGCATGTGTGAGCCTGTGCATGTGTGTGCAGACACAAAAGCCTACCTCAATGCCTCAAGTTAACAGGCCTGGCTTTAGTTTGGTCCAGAAGGAGCCTTACCCCCATTTTACAGATGAAACAAAGCAAGGCACTCTTTAGAGCAGGCTGAGTCCCGAGTCCATGTATGAGCTCTTGGGATGTGTGATTTGGGACTAGTACCCCAAGCTGAGTCTTGTTCCTGGGGCACCTCCCTGATATAGGTACCATGACTGGGAGAAACCCCAACAACCCTTTCTCCAGCTGCTTCTCTCAGTCCATAATAGTGGACCTGCTGATGACTCCCCTGCAGGGTCTCTGGGGCCTCTGATTAGCTTCAGCTTTTCCCTCACTCTCCAACCCCTCTCAGGTCCTCAGCTTCAGAAAGCACAACCAATGGTGAGACTCCTGGAGCTCTGAGCGTGGCCTTAATGCCTTCCTCAACCTTCTCTGATGTTAGCCCATGACAAAGCCAGCATCTCTTCAGAGTAGCTTTTCCCCTCCTCTCATCACTGCCACCCACTCAGGCCCCATTATCCCAGATGGCCTTAGGCTGTCCCACCACTCCCCAGCCCGGCTCCACCAGCCCCCTGACTACCTTGCCTCTCACAACCCTGAGATAAAACCTTGGCCCCTTCCTTCCTTGTCCCCTGCCACCCCTCTTCCAGCTCCTCTCTCCTGTCTAACTCTCTCTGCCCCTTGAGTTCTGTGTTCTGGACTCCAGGGAGACCTCTTAGAGTGAATGCAGGGCTTTCTATTTCTTTGCCATCTGACTTGTGTGGGTGCTACCATTCTACGATGGCATCTCAAGAGCTGGGGATTCACTTCCAAGGTTTTCTCCTGGATGTAGCTGGGAGCTCCTAGAGGGCTTTGTTTCTGTGCCTGTGAGGACAGCTCTGGGCTGGGTCAGGTGAGAGTAATAGATGGAATTTGTATGGGTAGTTGGATGGATGGATGAAATGATGAAGAACAAACAGGGACAAGGGGATGTGGCTGCCTGGCTAGGGAGGGTTAGTGACAACACACCCACCTTTAGGGCCAGTACTCCAGGTAGCAAGGATAGTGTGGACCGAGGGGAGAATGAGGAACTGGCTAGTTGGAGCAGTCAGTGGCTGGGTGGAGTGGGCAGTGGACACGTAGGAAAGCCTGCCAGGGCTCATTTTGTTGAAGTCCCAAGTGTGGGGTTGTGGATAGAGAACCACTGTGTGCCACTGGCCACGCGGTATATCTCTCTCTACCCCTAATGCTCCTTTTGGTTCCATATCACCTCAAGGACCTCCATTGTTTGCCTTGGCAGCTCCCACTCTGCCTGCTCCCTCACTCTGCAGGTGGCCGATGCAGAAAGGCATCTATGAGTTCAGGATCAGCTGCCAGGGTAATAGCATATGTGATGTCCTCCTGCCACACATTTATTGGTCAGTGGGAGGAAGAGGGGCAGTGTGAGAGCAACAGCAGCTGCTAGGGCCACAGCAAAGCAATTAGTAGGTCCTGCCTCAGCTCCTCCCACCCCAGCAAGGAGACTGGCTGATAGGTGAGTGGTATGTGACTCCACCCATTGTGGCAGGGGGTGAGCAGACCTGAAGCCTGGGCAGGTCTAGTGCCTGACTGAGTGTCACCTTCTTCTTGTCCCAACTCTCTACCCATTAGCAATGGAATTAGAAGCCAGTAGCTGCCAAGGAGAGTTAAGAGAGTGACAAACTTCAGCCATCAGCACTTTTTATTTAGACCTGAATTCATGAATTTTAACCAAATAAACACAGGCGTGTTAGGTATTAATATATGTACCATTATGCAAAACCAGTATTACAGCTGTAATGAAAACTAGATTCTACCTCAGTGGTGGTGTTCCAAGAGGGCAGGCATCCTCTGGTTTACAGTGCTGTGACCTCTGGTTGCTGTTGCCATGGTAACTGTGCTGCCATGGGAATGTGTGGACCAGAGGCTGGGCTTGTGGGGTAGGATGAGAGCAGACCTGTATTCCAGCCCCCCTTTGTCAACTCTGCCACTCAAAAAAGAGGGAACTAGTGGCCAGTGTGAGAGGCTGGGGGACAGACAGTAAGACAGTAGGGGCACAGCACATCCCCTCATGTTTAGCTCCTTCTTCCTCTCTGCACTAGGTAGCTCTTTTATAGAGACAGTCTTGACATCTTTCAGTTAATACTAGCTGAATGCCTATTGTGTCAGACCTGTGCTAGGCTCTGGGGATATAGCAACAGGTGCCCGTGCTTGCGGAAGCGACCATGTCAGATGGGAGGGACAGATGCATCCTGCCTCTCAGAGCAAGGGACAGAAAATAGACAGAAGCAAGGTCATCTTAGATGATGGGTTGGAGGAATGACTGTTGGTCCATCTTTCTAACAGCATGGTCTGGAGTAGGGCAAGATGGGAATGTCTTCTGGATGAGAAGGAGAGGGATTGGGAAGGCAGCAGCCACCCCTCCCAAATAAGGGCAGGAGAACAAAGCCAGGTTACCCTATTCCAAATGAATTTCAAATAGGATCTGGGGTGAGTTCAGCCATAGAGTGTTTGCCTGGCATACACACAGCCCTGGGTTTCACCCTCAGTACTGCAAAAGAAAACAAGTGACACTCCAATTAAACACAAAGAATTGTTTAGTGTTTAGTGTCTTATGCAGTCAGGGATACACACTGACAAGCCATTTGTTGTCCATCTGACATTTGGATTTAGCTGGCTGTCCTGTGTTCTTTTCTAAATTCAGCCAGCCTTGAGAGAGCAGAAATGACCTGCCCAGGTACTGAGCTGTAGAGGTGACCATGTCTGTTCATGTGGCCCAGGTCCTGCTGTAGGCTGCTTGTTGTCCTATCTCCCCTACCAGCCCTTCTCAGTCTTAGCCTGGGGTGCGTGACATCTAGGTGAAATGCTATCTGATATCATTCTTGTCACTCTGTGGTTGTATGGCATGGCTCTAGTGGCTCCTAGGACCTGTGTGATGCCTGCCAGGCCCTGGGGACACTGTTCCTTACCCACAGTTCAATGGAATTTCACCTGACCTGCTCTGTTCCCCACTGGCTTCCTCTGCTGGGCCCTCCTGAGCTGGTTCACCTGAATCAAGCCTTAAGGCCCAGTCAGGCATCGC